GGGACGTCATTCTCCCCCTGTACTCGGCCTTAGTGAGGCCGCAGCTGGAGTACTGTGTCCAGTTTTGGGCTCCACAATTCAAAAAGGATGTGGAGAAGCTTGAGAGAGTCCAGAGAAGAGCCACGCGCATGATCAGAGGTCAGGGAAACAGACCCTACGATGACAGGCTAAGAGCCCTGGGGCTCTTTAGCCTGAAAAAGCGCAGGCTCAGGGGTGATCTGATGGCCACCTGCAAGTTTATCAGGGGTGACCACCAGCATCTGGGGGAATGTTTGTTCACCAGAGCGCCCCAAGGGATGACGAGGTCGAATGCTCACAAACTACTTCAAGATCGTTTCAGGCTGGACATAAGGAAGAATTTCTTTACTGTCCGAGCCCCCAAGGTCTGGAACAGCCTGCCACCGGAGGTGGTTCAAGCGCCTTCATTGAACACCTTCAAGATGAAACTGGATGCTTATCTTGCTGGGATCCTATGACCCCAGCTGACTTCCTGCCCTTTGGGCGGGGGGCTGGACTCGATGATCTTCCGAGGTCCCTTCCAGCCCTGATGTCTATGAAATCTATGAAATCTATGAATGGCTCCCCCATCCCCATGTTAAATGGGGAAGAAAACCTCATTTTAGAATAAAATAAGTATGGTAGTTAAATCAGAACAGCCTATGCATACTTCCCAACAACTACTGCTCTTCAGGTTTTAAAGAAGTTAACAATTACACTTGTCCATAGCCTTATAGGAGCACGAGGCTTTTGAAAAGCCTGAGAGAGATTAAATAGGCAGGAGTAAGGTGGTGTATGAGAGTCAATCATCTGACCCCATCCCTTGTCAAAGGGAAAATGTAGGACCAGGGGAAGGGAAAAAGAACAACCCTTGACTTTTGTATATTTCTACTCCTGTATGAGCTGTTCTCTGTGTCTGGCTCAAGTCTGCCTATACCCCACTGAATTCTGTGGACGAAGTATCCTGCTTGAGACAAATTACCTGCTGGAATGAACTTCACAAAGAATCCTGTAATGTTTTACCATACACACTTTGATTCACTAAAATAAACAATAAAAAATGTTTTACCTTTCAGCAACCTCTTATAAAGATGGAATGAGACTTCAGAATATCCTTGAACTTCTTAGTTTCATTAAGAAAATAACATTACGCTCTTACCACATCTCAGGAGTATGAATGCTTCTTATGGAAATATGGGATTAAGTCAAAAGGAAGAGGACTACTGCATCAGGACTGAAATACTGAGATACAGATGTGTGGGCTGGACAGAGCAAGTCCTTGTTTCTTAAAAACTGTAGGAGCTTGATATTGACTGAAGGCTGGACTGTAGACACTGGACCAGAGTAAAGGTTACAACAGAGTGCACATGAACAATGCAGGGTTAAAGGATTCAAAAGAGAATATGCATAGGCCCTCAAGAAAGGAGATGGCCTGCCAGTTTGAGATGATGGTATGTTCAGCACCATGTGTATTCACCAGTGCTTGGTTTTAATTCAACAAGGACTTGCTGTCTATGCCACAAATTTGCCTTCTGGGCAGGAAATCATAGTCCCCTTTTTTGGGTCACAGGAGTTAAGAATCCGTACAGCACAATTTAGTCATAGTCAGAAAGTATCTTTAAAAAAAACCCCAAAACAGTACACGCAAAAACCCAAAATGAATATTCTGTATTTTGCAGAACAGCAGAGCTGAAACAGGCTGGCTATTAAGTGCACTAATAAAACCACAGAGTTGTACTTTAGCTGTTTTGAAGCAATAATGTGCTTTCCCATGAAAACTTAAAAGGAAAGGTGAAAAAAGGTTTGCATAGTGGAAAGGAATGTCAGACACTAGTTTGGTCAAACATTCCCATTAAATATATCTCCATTATCTACCAGGTTCATTTATAGGCCAAATGCACTGGGTATTTACCAAGAAGTTTTAAGATTAGGTTTGCAGCCCTCGAGCATTTTCTGTTTGCTGGAGCTTCATAAAAACCTATTAGTGAAGTAAAACTATATGATACTGTATTTATTATCCGTGTATTCTAAATTTTCTACACAACAATATCTTTCTTAATTTTTATTTCCCATTACTTACATTATACCACCCTATCTGTTTTAAAATTGCCCTCAATTATTGCCCTGCTATTTTCACTTCATAGTTGTAATAAATAGCTTATGATGCAATTTTTCTTCAAAAGCCTGGCTAAATCCTGCTGGAAGTCTTGGAGACTACTTGCAGGAGCCAGGGTAGCAGATCTGGCTTTTTGTCACTAATATTCCTGAATTCATGCTCTCTTTTACCATATTTGCATACCTGCAAAACATGCAACTTGCTGATGTAAGCAGTAATAAACACAAAATAAACCTGGAAACAGTAGAATAAATAAAAAAATAAAAGAGAGCTAGTAGACAATTTTTGTATTATATAGCAGATAAAGTAAAGCCCTGGGCAACACTACATGTTTATCTTTAATTTAACTGATAATTTTCTATTTGCATTTTTAAGTTACTGTGGGGAAAAATGATAACTATGACAGTTCAGTAGAAAGCCTATAAATAACTAATACTGAACTGCTGAAAGAATTCTTCTATAAAACACACACACAGGATATTAATCTATCACTTTATAAGACTACAATCTTTCCAACAAACAGTACGTACTAGTTGTAAACTGCTGAAGCTCCAAATGTCTTTAAAATCCATTCATTTTTCAACATTCCTTAATTTGTTTATACTTTATTTCCATTGCAAATCAAGATAACCAAGGAGAGAATGCTAATTAGAAAGTACTGATATATATACACAATTAAAGACACTAAGAAAACTGATTATTTTTATTTAATCAGGTTCCGATCCTTGATCCCAAAATTGTGTCCCCTGCTATGCGCGCTAGGAACGTGTGCCAGGGGCATTATACCCATGCTTTACTCTATACAGAGTACATAGATCCATTGTAGGCAATTAATTGCTCATAATCTTGTTTCTCTGACTGGATTTCTAGTCACTGCTCTCAAAACACATAAACTAAAACCATATATAAAATCTCTCAGTCCCTTTGAAAGAACAGAATCTCCCAATTTTGAGATCGACTGCCGGTGTACCCCACCTAGAACATCCTGTAAAAGTGTTCAGAGGATGAGGAAAAATGAACAACTTCCAATAACAGACTTAAGGATCACGATAGGATGCAAGTGTCAGTAAAAAGCTTCAATTCCTGAAAGTATTTCCTTTTCTAGCTCAAGACTTGAATGAATTACTAGAAATCTAGTCACATGATATTTTAGAGGCAGATTAAGAAAGCTAGTTCTCTCTTCTAAAAGGCATCACATTATCTGGAATCCCACCCCTGTAGAATACAGACTGAAAGTAAAATATCAAGTAAAATATCAACAGACACTTTCTCATAGCCACTGGAAAGGAACTTCTCTTCAACTACCAGATGGCTAGGCGCCCATCATAAACCATTCAAACCTTCACTCCCATTAGCTTCAGATACGGTTTCAATAGAGCTTCTGTGCCACTTCAGCTTTCCCCCTCCCATGTCATAGCAGAAAGACTTCTCTCAATACCTTTTGCCTCCTGTACATTTAGACCTGTAGGCTGGAAATAGACTTTGATATCCTAGAGAGGCATTGTCATTTTGTCTCAGAAAAAGGTAAGGGCCAGAAGTCTTTAAGAAATGGCAGAAGAAATATATTCTGGCTCGTCTTAGGAAAACTGGGACCCAACAGTAAGAATCTAATCAACATTACCTTTAGAAAAAATCTTTCATTAAAAAAATCCATTATGATATAATCCCTGCAAGCAGAATATCTGTTTTATGTAAAAAAAAAAAAAAAAAATATTCCCCCCAAACTTCACTCATCTTTCTGCTTTAACATTTTTGATTTCCAAGTACTTCCAAAGAAATGACTGACAGAACAAATTCAGCCTCAGGCAGATTTCACTATGAGAACAAGCAGGAAGAAAAAAAACAGGATTTGATGGAGAAAATCCTTGTTCAAATATCAGTTTTGGCATAAATGAACTCCCACAGGAACAATTTTATTAAGCTGTGCCAGTGACAACTTGTATGAATCAGCAGATGGGTCAACAGACAGGTGCCTGTCAGAGAACAGAGAAACAATGAGCTGGTTGCTGGCCCAGTGAGACACACAACTGGTCCTTGATATTTTAATTCAACCACACTAATGCCTAATATCTGGTACAGAGAAAAATCAGTTCCCGAGTTTCTTCTACCTCTGACCACAGGCATCTACGTTCGTCCCTGTAAACACCATTCTAGTGAACAGAGATCGTCTTCGCTGTAGCATTATGTTCTTTCCTTCTGCATGTGTAAAATACAAAACAGCCCACTAGATTTCATTTATATTGTCAATTTGTTCTTAAAAGAAAAATAAAATACATACAGCATCTGTGACATCTATTTCATACACCTTCTGGAACGTCTCTCGTTCAAAGAAAATAAGCTTCCCATTGCCACCTCCTTTCTTCACAGAAGTTCCTGTAACAAGTATCTTATCATCTGGGCTGAAACAGC